GATCTTTACTAAACTTTGCTTCCTTTTGTCAAGATTGTAATTGTAACCACTTCCTTTACAATCAACTGTATCAATACACCTGTATTGTTCCATTTGTCGCATCTTTAATTAAACAGAGTCGTCTGTGACATAAATAGTCTTAATCAAAGAAAAGATATATTATTTACGTTCTTAACCTCAAGGTACTCGAGGAACCACACAACTGGTGAAGAAATGTTACGCCTACGAAGACATATCCCGCTGGTGCAGATTTCGACGGCGGAAGGGCTTTGAGGCAAAACGGCTTCGAAATATAGATATACAACAAAAAAGATTGGAAAAAATTGACATTTTTGAAATACTGTGTTATCGGAGGATACGAAGAAGAATCTAGAAAGAACAGAAGTCAAATTTTCAGATAGAAACATCGGAGAAACTTTGCAGCTTGTAAAGATTCCACAAAAGTAAGTTGTTTTAGATCGGTTTCAATTTTCTTTCTTCTTTATTCCATTCGAGAATTTACTGATCTAATAATAACTGTATTTAGTTCCATGTTTGTAAAATCCTTATACTGTTCCTAATTTTTTTTTAAAGTTTGAAAATGCCTATTTGTCTATGTGAATGTGTGTAATTTCGACAGGGTTGGATTTTTTTTTAACCTGTCTAATTAATTCCCATTTTGTTACTTTTATCGTATCTTGGGTCAGTTTGAAGGATTAAAAAAAAAAAATTAAAGAAGTGAATCAGTTTAATTATTTAGAATCGTTTTAACCACTCTATGTTCTATATTGTTGGCCAAACCTCGGAAACATACTAGAGTGAGTGAGTGTGTATGCATACATACAAACACACACACACACTTACATACATACATTCATACATACATACATACATACATACATACATACATACATACATACACACACACATACATACATACATACACACACACACACACCACACACACACACACACAGACAGACAGACACACACACACACACACACACACGCACGCACGCACACACGCACACACGCGCACACGCACACACGCGCACACGCACACACGCACACACGCACACACGCACACACGCAGACACGCAGACACGCAGACACGCAGACACGCAGACATACAGACATACAGACATACATACATACATACATACATACATACATACATACATACATACATACATACATACATACATACATACATACATACATACATACATACATACATACATACATACATACATACATACATACATACATACATACATACATACATACATACATACATACATACATACATACATACATACATACATACATACATACATACATACATACATACGTACATACATATATACGCGCGCATGGACACATACTCACTTATTGTTACAGTGTTTTTATATTTTATTTGCTCCAACTCCTACTCCTACACGTCTTTTTATTCATCACCTTTTTCTTTTCTTTTTCTTCTTCTTCTTCTTCTTCTTCTTCTTCTTCTTCTTCTTCTTCTTCTTCTGCTACTACGGTTGATGCTGTTTTGTTTCTCTTTTATCACTCTCCATATCTTACTTAACCATTATCTTCCTTTTCGTCAGTTTTTGTGCTATATAACTGCTGCCCAACCAGGTCTGTTCGCCGTCTTATTCTTCTTCCTCCTCTTGATCCCTTTCTGTAAGTTGTTAATCCTGCCCCTCTCGTAACACAGTCTGCAGCAGCGATCAACACTCCCTACATCTCAATCTGCAGCAGCGATCAACACTCCCTACATCTCAGTCTGCAGCAGCGATAAACACTCCCTACATTGCAGTCTGCAGCAGCGATCAACACTCCCTACATTGCAGTCTGCAGCAGCGATCAACACTCCCTACATTGCAGTCTGCAGCAGCGATCAACACTCCCTACATTGCAGTCTGCAGCAGCGATCAACACTCCCTACATTGCAGTCTGCAGCAGCGATCAACACTCCCTACACTGCAGTCTGCAGCAGCGATCAACACTCCCTGCACTGCAGTCTGCAGCAGCGATCAACACTCTCTACATCGCAGTCTGCAGCAGCGATCAACACTCCCTACATCTCAGTCTGCAGCAGCGATAAACACTCCCTACATTGCAGTCTGCAGCAGCGATCAACACTCCCTACATTGCAGTCTGCAGCAGCGATCAACACTCCCTACATCACAGTCGGCAGCAGCGATCAACACTCCCTACATTGCAGTCTGCAGCAGCGATCAACACTCCCTACATTGCAGTCTGCAGCAGCGATCAACACTCCCTACATCACAGTCTGCAGCAGCGATCAACACTCCCTACATTGCAGTCTGCAGCAGCGATCAACACTCCCTACATTGCAGTCTGCAGCAGCGATCAACACTCCCTACATCACAGTCTGCAGCAGCGATCAACACTCCCTACATCTCAGTCTGCAGCAGCGATCAACACTCCCTACATTGCAGTCTGCAGCAGCGATCAACACTCCCTACATCTCAGTCTGCAGCAGCGATCAACACTCTCTACATCACATTCTGCAGCAGCGATCAACACTCTCTACATCACAGTCTGCAGCAGCGATCAACACTCCCTACATTGCCGTCTGCAGCAGCGATCAACACTCCCTACATCTCAGTCTGCAGCAGCGATCAACACTCCCTACATCACATTCTGCAGCAGCAATCAACACTCCCTACATCACATTCTGCAGCAGCGATCAACACTCCCTACATCACATTCTGCAGCAGCGATCAACACTCCCTACATCACATTCTGCAGCAGCGATCAACACTCTCTACATCACATTCTGCAGCAGCGATCAACACTCTCTACATCACATTCTGCAGCAGCGATCAACACTCTCTACATCACAGTCTGCAGCAGCGATCAACACTCCCTACATTGCAGTCTGCAGCAGCGATCAACACTCCCTACATCTCAGTCTGCAGCAGCGATCAACACTCCCTACATTGCAGTCTGCAGCAGCGATCAACACTCCCTACATCTCAGTCTGCAGCAGCGATCAACACTCCCTACATTGCAGTCTGCAGCAGCGATCAACACTCCCTACATCTCAGTCTGCAGCAGCGATCAACACTCCCTACATCTCAGTCTGCAGCAGCGATCAACACTCCCTACATTGCAGTCTGCAGCAGCGATCAACACTCCCTACATCTCAGTCTGCAGCAGCGATCAACACTCCCTACATTGCAGTCTGCAGCAGCGATCAACACTCCCTACATCTCAGTCTGCAGCAGCGATCAACACTCCCTACATTGCAGTCTGCAGCAGCGATCAACACTCCCTACATTGCAGTCTGCAGCAGCGATCAACACTCCCTACATCTCAGTCTGCAGCAGCGATCAACACTCCCTACATTGCAGTCTGCAGCAGTGATCAACACTCCCTACATCACATTCTGCAGCAGCGATCAACACTCCCTACATCTCAGTCTGCAGCAGCGATCAACACTCCCTACATCACAGTCTGCAGCAGCGATCAACACTCCCTACATCTCAGTCTGCAGCAGCGATCAACACTCCCTACATTGCAGTCTGCAGCAGTGATCAACACTCCCTACATCACATTCTGCAGCAGCGATCAACACTCCCTACATCTCAGTCTGCAGCAGCGATCAACACTCCCTACATCTCAGTCTGCAGCAGCGATCAACACTCCCTACATCTCAGTCTGCAGCAGCGATCAACACTCCCTACATCTCAGTCTGCAGCAGCGATCAACACTCCCTACATCACAGTCTGCAGCAGCGATCAACACTTTCTACATTGCAGTCTGCAGCAGCGATCAACACTCCCTACATTGCAGTCTGCAGCAGCGATCAACACTCCCTACACTGCAGTCTGCAGCAGCGATCAACACTCCCTACATTGCAGTCTGCAGCAGCGATCAACACTCCCTACATTGCAGTCTGCAGCAGCGATCAACACTCCCTACATCTCAGTCTGCAGCAGCGATCAACACTTTCTACATTGCAGTCTGCAGCAGCGATCAACACTCCCTACATTGCAGTCTGCAGCAGCGATCAACACTCCCTACATCTCAGTCTGCAGCAGCGATCAACACTTTCTACATTGCAGTCTGCAGCAGCGATCAACACTCCCTACATTGCAGTCTGCAGCAGCGATCAACACTCCCTACATTGCAGTCTGCAGCAGCGATCAACACTCCCTACATTGCAGTCTGCAGCAGCGATCAACACTCCCTACATCTCAGTCTGCAGCAGCGATCAACACTCCCTACATTGCAGTCTGCAGCAGCGATCAACACTCCCTAACATTGCAGTCTGCAGCAGCGATCAACACTCCCTACATCTCAGTCTGCAGCAGCGATCAACACTCCCTACATTGCAGTCTGCAGCAGCGATCAACACTCCCTACATTGCAGTCTGCAGCAGCGATCAACACTCCCTACATCACAGTCTGCAGCAGCGATCAACACTCCCTACATTGCAGTCTGCAGCAGCGATCAACACTCCCTACATTGCAGTCTGCAGCAGCGATCAACACTCCCTACATCGCAGAAGTGCATTATCGGAACGCCACATAGCGTAACAGGGCAAGTATTTCTAAGGATAACGGTAACGAGATTACATGTCCACTTCTGAACACAATATCTGCCACGTGATCTGGACAATCCTGTGACAAGATTACCAGTAATGGCCGAATCTTGTTTAAAATAGGACATCAATTATTCGCAGACGATAAACCCTGTAGAAAATGCCAACAGACCCACAACTCACTGTCTTTCTAGGAACAGAAAAAAAAAAGGGGGGGGGGGGGAGGGAGGATGAGAAAATGCACAAATATTTTTTTAGAGAAACCAGTGCTTCTTGGATCCAGACTGACACAGAATGGTTCCCGTGCCAGAACATTCTGTGACTACAAATAGGATCATAAATCAGGAAAGCCTGTCATAAATTGGGTGTACTGCAAGCGGATTGGATGCTCCCTGGAGGTCTCGTCATAAGAGGGATGTGTGCCAGATATTGCAGTTTAAGTCATGTTGTGTTGGGTTGTGTTTTGTCGGCTTGTGTTGTGTTGGGGTGTGTTTGGCGGGTGTGTTGTGATTGGCTGTTTTGTTTTGTCGGCTTGTGTTCTGTTAGGCTGTTTTGTTTTGCATTGCTTGCTAGTGAAGAACGTGTGGTTTGGACGTCGAGGATCAAAACAGATGTGTGATTATCATCGTCTGCTGTGAGTAGACAAGAACAGATTATAGTTTACAATAAAGAAACATTGTTATTGAATAAGAAGGAAAAGGAAGAGAAAAAGGTAATGGAAGCATAAGCAGAGGTTACATGCACATCTCGCCATCCAGCACAAGTGTATTGTCTGTTACACTAGGCATGAGATGGATCTACACCTAGGCATGAAAGAATACTACACATAGGAATAAGCGAGTACTACACCTAGGCGTGAGAGAGTACTACATCTAGGCATGAGAGAGTACTACATCTAGGCATGAGAGAGTACAACATCTAGGCATAAGAGAGTACTACATCTAGGCTTGAGAGTACTACATCTAGTCATAAGAGAGTACTACATCTAGGCAAGAGAGAGTACTACATCTAGGCATAAGAGAGTACTACATCTAGGCGTGAGAGAGTACTATATCTAGGCATGAGAGAGTACTACATCTAGGCATGAGAGAGTACTACATCTAGTCATAAGCGAGTACTACACCTAGGCATTACAGAGTACTACATCAAGGCATAAGAGAGTACTACACATAGGCATGAGAGAGTACTACACAAAGGTATGAGCGAGAACTATACCTGAGCATTACATTTAGAAACTGCATACATTGTTGCGGGAGGCGCCGTGGTGTAGCGGCTAGACGCTAACATGCGTATCGGAAGATCGTGGGTTCGATCCACGACGGAGCCGAATTAAAAAAAATGACCTTGACTCCCAGGTCGACCCATCTATCTATCCTATCTATCCTATCTATCCTATCTATCTATCCTATCTATCTATCCTATCTATCTATCCTATCTATCTATCCTATCTATCTATCCTATCTATCTATCCTATCTATCTATCCTATCTATCTATCCTATCTATCTATCTATCCTATCTATCTATCCTATCTATCTATCCTATCTATCTATCCTATCTATCTATCCTATCTATCTATCCTATCTATCTATCCTATCTATCTATCCTATCTATCTATCTATCCTATCTATCTATCCTATCTATCTATCCTATCTATCTATCCAACCTATCTATCCTATCTATCTATCTATCTATCTATCTATCTATCTATCTATCTATCTAATCTATCTATCTATCTATCTATCTATCTATCTATCTATCTATCTATCTATCTATCTATCTATCTATCTATCTATCTATCTATCTATCTATCTATCTATCTATCTATCTATCTATCTATCTATCTATCTATCTATCTATCTATCTATCTATCTATCTGTCTGTTTGCCTGCCTGTCTGTCTGTCTGTCTGTCTGTCTGTCTGTCTGTCTGTCTGTCTGTCTGTCTGTCTGTCTGTCTGTCTGTCTGTCTGTCTGTCTGTCTGTCTGTCTGTCTGTCTGTCTGTCTGTCTGTCTGTCTCTCTGTCTCTCTGTCTCTAAGGAGAGTGTGCAGATGATTACCGTGAAGATAAGGAGAGTGTACAGATGATTACCGTGAAGATAAGGAGAGTGTACAGATGATTACTGTGAAGATAAGGAGAGTGTACAGATGATTACCGTGAAGATAAGGAGAGTGTACAGATGATTACCGTGAAGATAAGGAGAGTGTACAGATGATTACCGTGAAGATAAGGAGAGTGTACAGATGATTACCGTGAAGATAAGGAGAGTGTACAGATGATTACCGTGAAGATAAGGAGAGTGTACAGATGATTACCGTGAAGATAAGGAGAGTGTACAGATGATTACCGTGAAGATAAGGAGAGTGTGCAGATGATTACCGTGAAGATAAGGAGAGTGTACAGATGATTACCGTGAAGATAAGGAGAGTGTACAGATGATTACCGTGAAGATAAGGAGAGTGTACAGATGATTACCGTGAAGATAAGGAGAGTGTACAGATGATTACCGTGAAGATAAGGAGAGTGTACAGATGATTACCGTGAAGATAAGGAGAGTGTACAGATGATTACCGTGAAGATAAGGAGAGTGTGCAGATGATTACCGTGAAGATAAGGAGAGTGTGCAGATGATTACCGTGAAGATAAGGAGAGTGAGCAGATGATTACCGTGAAGATAAGGAGAGTGTGCAGATGATTACCGTGAAGATAAGGAGAGTGTGCAGATGATTACCGTGAAGATAAGGAGAGTGTACAGATTATTACCGTGAAGATAAGGAGAGTGTACAGATTATTACCGTGAAGATAAGGAGAGTGTACAGATGATTACCGTGAAGATAAGGAGAGTGTACAGATGATTACCGTGAAGATAAGGAGAGTGTACAGATGATTACCGTGAAGATAAGGAGAGTGTACAGATTTTTACCGTGAAGATAAGGAGAGTGTACAGATG